TAATACAAGTAGGTTGCTAGGTCATTTTGTACTAGCTGATGTAAATTAGGTATATGTCATCGGTTTACTGTTTGACACATAAATGTCATGGTATTATCACTACCAATATATCAGTTACTGATCTTTGTTGTGTTACATTTCTATTACATTATTATAATGTAATATTATAAAAGTTATTATTGTAGTCCGTGTAAATTCATACAACCATTGCTATAACAATAACAACACTGTTGACTCTGACAAAGCTCTTAGTAGCTAATGGCTTTGGGTTCAAGTACCATTTCAGAGCCATGGTATTATTATCACTAACACAAGGTATCATAGTAGTACCTTATGATGTTACCAAACTTTGTCAATTCAGCATTACATTCCAGGACTAACAAGTGCAATCATATGCAGACTCTGCCTCAATCTTGAATCCTAACTTTTTTGACACAAACTGTAGATTAGTCAGAAAGAATGTCTCTCTGGCATCTGACTATAGCAGGATAAGCATTAATCATAAATGCCAATATCTCAACCCTCCTATTCCAACAAAGCAAAAAAAAAAGTGATCCATTCACTATTAAATATACAGCTCAGAAAACCTAACACCCAGACAAACAGAGAAATAAAACCAAAGAAATAATTTGTATAATTAATGAAAAAGGAAACGGTTCATTGAAAATCAAAAAGCAATAAAACAACTGGACTCTGTTTCTCATCTACCTCCATTGAATATCTAATTTATGTAATGTTTGAGTTAAGTGTTCAACATTTGGTTGCTAAACCTGCCTCTAGTACCTCTGGAACAATCCTTTACTTCTAATTCTGCATTGCCTACTCATCTTGCCATAAAGCATCCACTTTTCAGCATAATTTATATAGAAAAATCATAACATTTCTACTAGGTATTTTCACTTAGCATTTGTGAAGTCATACTAAAATAATCAAGCTGGTATGTGGTTTTAAAAACAGTACCTTTTCCATAAACTGTGTAAATCTTTTTTGAATATGAGTTACATTTTTATTTTTCTTAAAATATGAAAACATCTTGTCTGGTGCTTCTGCTATGTTAGAGATTTTTGATAGAATACAAAAGAATCTGCTATGCTATTGGTACTGACATGACATCTTGGCTTCAGTCACTTTCCTACTGCTGTAATGTAGCTTCCCTATGTCTTTTCTATAAATATTTTCATGGTAATTGTTCTAATGAGCTTTTCTGTTTGCTAACTCAACTTTATGAATTTAAGCACTGTACTAAATTGGCTGATAGGTCTCATCATTTTACAGTTGAAATGGCTTGATGTAACTGTAAGTTCTATGCTAACACTTTCTTTGATCACACTTCTCGCCTGTGGAACTCTCTTCTAGCTTCTTGCTTTCCAGTCAATTTTGATCTTCAAAAATTTAAATGCAATGTCAATAGTTATCTTTTGCCTTTTATTTTTCTCTCTCCTTAAAAAAATTTTTTTCTCGTATTCTCTCACATATCTTGCATCTTAGTGGCTTTCTTGTCTTGCTTGGGGGGAAATGATTAAATAAAGTATATGCCACAAATGTCATTTATTTTCTTTCATTCTAAGTGTTAGAATCGATAAACATAAATAGGAAATTTTTTTTTTTTTTAAATGTAAACAAGTATGACAACTGTCACAATAAAATTAAGTTACCTTTGTGAATAAATTAGAACTAAATGTCCTTAACCCTTTGAATCTGAATGGTCAGGGACAACAAAGATGGACAGCAGGAGCCCAGGGCTGGAGATCTGTACTCATCAGAGGGCCAGGGTTCAAAGGGTTAAAGCCATTTAATGACAAAAAACAACAAACTTTTCTGGTCAATTCTTATATAAATTTTGGACATACATCGTTAATGTAACAGTTATTAACATGAAAAATGGAACTGGTAATCCAAGTTTAAATTCTGGACAAGTCTGTTGCATTTACTTCGCACTAATGATAATGGTATTGGTGAGATGGCCTTTTCCATACAGAAAACATTTGTTATTCATTGACTGAACACTTAGTGTTACTGTCAGTTGAAATTTATAAAATCTTTCTCTTAAAACAATTTTTCAGAAAAATAGGCTTCTGAAGTCCATTGTTATCACTCTTTCTAGCATTGTTAGTAGTTTCTTTCTTAACCTTTTGTTTAAGATAGTGTGGAAAATCAACATCTAATGCCACTATTTTCTCTTCTAGTTACATGTGCTATCCACTTTCGTTGTTACTGCTGTTGGAAATCTTCAAGTGATGTGGGTTTTGTTATTTGGTAAAGTTCTTTGTGATTTTGTAATGCCAGTTGTATATAGCTGATAGTTTAGACCAGTGATTCTTAACCTTTTTTGCCCAATGCACCCTTATCACCATATGCCAGAATATCATCCCCCCTCTTTCCAAGATTGTCCAATTCAAAAGGTGCATTCCAAATAATATGCATATATTAGTGAAAATCTTTATTCTTTTCCATATTAGTACATATATATTTACATGGGTTATTTTTATAGAGGAGTTCTTTTTTACACACAATAATGATGGCTTCCAAACTCTGTTATTAGAAAAAAAAAAAATAAACAAGGAAAAGTAACGGATACCCCCCCGCCGCCCTGAAACACTGAAATCTTCCCTGAAGGGCCCCCCATGGCTCCTGGTTGAGAACTTACTAGTTTAGACATTTTTGAATGTGTTGGATGTCATGCATAACATTCATTTGAAAGATAGGAATCTCTCTCCTCATCCAATGGGATCAAATAGTACAGTCACCTTGGATGGTTACCAATTTGGGACTAAAAAATCTACCAAAATAGATTAAATACTACATACTAGTGAAAACCCAGTAACCTCAATTTTCAAGGTGTTACTGTGACCTTATTTATACTCAACAAGATCTTGACAAATTCAACATCAACAAAATATTTTATTTTTAATATCATGTCACTTCAAGACATAATCGTTGCTCTCCACAGATACCTTTTCCACATTATCTGTGAATTGCCACAAATTCTTGGGAAAAATAGTAAACCAGGTTCCTGTTAGAATAAATATGCCATTTAATAAATAAATGGAACATATACTCAAATACAAGTATCCACTAAAAATAACATTTAAGTAATAAAAATCTGTTGGATTTATAAATAAAAATTCATATCCATATACATACACACACATATATTATTTACAGTATTAAAAATAAGAACTAGATGAGATATCCTTAGGCATGGGCAGTGGAACAAGAACAGCCTATCCATAGATTAAATAAAGGGTTCAGTTTGGAATTCCTTGTAGGTTATCCTAATCGATATATATACCTGATGATATGTAGAAGGCACAATGGCCGAAACATTGTGATAACAACAAAGAATGTAAACCGTAATTCCTTGTAGGTTATCCTAATCGATATATACCTGATGATATGTAGAAGGCACAATGGCCGAAACATTGTGATAACAACAAAGAATGTAAACCGTAATTCCTTGTAGGTTATCCTAATCGATATATACCTGATGATATGTAGAAGGCACAATGGCCGAAACATTGTGATAACAACAAAGAATGTAAACCGTAATTCCTTGTAGGTTATCCTAATCAATATATACCTGATGATATGTAGAAGGCACAATGGCTGAAACATTGTGATAACAACAAAGAATGTAAACCGTAAAAATAATGACAAATCCTCATCCCAAAAATACAAACAGAAATAATATCTATCAATGTGTGTGTGTGTGTGTGTGTGTGTAAGTGATTGACTATCATATCCAGATATGAATAGAAATATGTGAAACTCTACCCACCTGCATATGTGAGTGCACACACATGAATGTATGCGTTGTTCTATTCATCTGTTAGTTGCTTGTCAATTCCTTTCTCATACTTTCCTCTGAAAGTTGATAGTAATATAGGTTAGTTAGGGGTTGTTTTGCATCTGAAAATATCTGTCCTTGACAAATCTTTGTAATCTCAAACAGTAACTCATATTTACACAAATATACGCATTCCAAAATGAAAAGATTTATTCATTTATCTGCATTTGTCTACAGCTATTTTTGTAGTGATGACAGTCATCACATTCAGTAAACTTGCTATGGATGTTTTGTTTTATATTCTGGATGTTTACATCTTTCTCAGCTGATGAAAATGCGACACAGCCTGGGTAAGTTTAATCAGAGACCTTCATCTTGTCTTCCATACCTTTGTTTTTTTTCTTTACTTCTTTTGGGTTGAAATTTTTACCATTTAACTAAAAGACACAAATGTCTGAATTTTGTGTTTATTTTAAAAAATGATTTTTGTTTTTTTTTCCTTTTCCCACATTGTTTTTTTTTTTACTTTTCTGTTTTCTTTCCTTCCTTATAAAATTTACTGTCTCTTCACTTGTCTCTTTCTTTATCTAGTTGACGTTCTTCCTTTCTCCACTTGATTCTTTTTTTTCTTTTGTTCTTTTTCAATTTCTCAAGTTATCAGTCTATTTTATTCTTTTGATTTACTTTTTCTATTAATTTACTTCTTTTCAATCTAATTTTTCATTGATCTACGTTTTTCTTTCAATCTAATTTTGCTTTTGTTTGATCTATTTTTTTTCTTTGAATCTACTTCTTTTGACCTAGTTTTTCTTTTAATCTATGTTTTTCTTTCAACCTAGTTTTGCTTTTGTTTTTGTTTGATCTATTTTTTCTTTGGAACTACATTTTCTTTCTGACCTAGTTTTTCTTTCGATCTACATTTTTTCTTTCAAATTACGTTTTTCTTTTGGTCTACATTTTTCTTTCGATCTACGTTAATCTTTCAATGTACGTTTTTCTTTCGATTTACGTTTTTCTTTCAAATTTCGTTTTGCTTTCGATCTACGTTTAATCTTTCAATTTGCATTTTTCTCACAATCTACGTTTTTCTTTCAATCTACATTTTTCTTTCAATTTACGTTTTTCTATCAATTTTTATATTCTACATTTTTCTTTCAATCTAGTCTTTTCATCTAATTAATTTTTCTTTCAATTTATATTCCTCTTTTAATTTATGTTTTTCTTTCAATCCACTTTTTTTCTTTCTTCCCGTAAATCTATTTTATATTTTTTTCATCAATCTTTTTCTTTTGCTGTTGATCTCCATCCCCCCCTCCTGTTGATCACCTCTTGTTTTTTATTATTCCTGTTCATCTACATTTTTCTCAAGTTCTTTCCTTCCTTCTTATTTCGTTTCTTTTTATTGCCTTATTTTATTGTTCATTCTTCTCTTTCCTTCACTTGTAAATTCTTTTGTTTTCCATTTCTCTTTTTCTCTTATCTTTTTCCTCTTCCTTGTTTATTCTTTTCTTTGTTTTGACCTTTCATTCTCTTTCAGTTCTTTCTTGAAAAACAACTTTAATATTTAAATTTTCAAGGTTATTATTTTTTACATGAAATTATCCAAATCTCTGGAAAAATATGCTAGTGGCTTTGTTCTAAGATGAGGTAAATATTTACATTAGCAATAAGTTAATCATTTGCATAATTAATACTTAATTTTCTCCATTAATTTTTAAAAAATGATTTTACTTTTAATTTATTTTGATAGTAGAAATCATTAAGTTACTATATAACTAATCAATGTGATAGTCATTAAGTCATTATATAACTAATCAATGTGACTAGGGTATTTGGTGTGAATTTAACTTTACTGTCACAATGATCTGTGAGATCAGTCCATTAAACACAACTAAATGGTGAGAAGCACTTTAGGTTAGTTCATTACTAATCTACCATAGGGGTAGCTGTGAGGATTGAACTCCCTATACTAACTAAAAGTGATGTGCAAAATTAACTTGCTTACTGTTGTTCTCTAAGCCAAACACAAAGGTCATAGAGTTCACATTCTTACAGGTGTTTGCAAGTGAGATTATCATGTCCTGAGTACTCACTGGTTTTGTTATGAAGTAGGGCACATTTTTTAATAAGTTTTCTTGAGTATGCAGGATGGTGGATGAAATAAATAGTGTTTAAGATAAAATGGAGCATCTACTCAAATATGGGTATTCACTAAAAATAATGTTTGAAGTAATATATATATATATATATATATATATATATATATATAAAACACACACACACACACCTGTCTTTTCATATCTGAATTGTCTCATTCTGTTTCTGTCTTTCTATCCTGTCTATGTATTTATCAATGTGTCTCTCTACCTATATATCTATCTCTAGATCACTGTCTTTCTATCTCAGTTTCTTCATATTTGTACATCTGTCTGTTCATAATTACCTGTCTGTTTATCAATCTAATTATCTATCTATCTAATTATTTATATGTTGTCTGTCTATCTATTTATTCAGCTGAGTATCTAACTGTTTAATTATCTATCCATCTGTCTGTATGTCTGTCTAATTATCTGTCTAACTGTATATGTCTGTATATCTATCCATTTACCTATATGTCTGTCTGTTTATATGTGTCTATGTATCTATCTCTATATCTCTGTTTTTCTATCCCTGTCAGTTTTTTTTATATTTGTGTATCTATATTAGTCAAATATCTATCTAATAATCTATTTGTCTCGCTATCTATCTATCTATCTATCTCTGTCCACCTATCTGTCTCTCTCTATTCACCTATCTTTTTCTGTCTCTCTCTCTCCCTGTCTCTCTTTGTCCACCCATCTATCTATCTATCTATTTATCTATCTATCTATTCCACTTGCTTACCTACCATAGTGCAATATTTAACAATTTAACACTCTAATCATACAGACCATTTATTAATATTATGAGTTTGATCCTCACTGGGCGTCCCACTATTGTGACATTACACCAACATTTTTGAAGATAAGCTCATAGAGAAATTGGAGTTATACACAACAGATTTTTTTACAGAAAAAAACATGTGATAATATCTTTTCTGTATTTGTTTTTTGTGTATTGTGTTTAAATATGTTTTGACTAAAAATACTTTCATGTGATCTTTGCTTCTATTCAATATATCATTGGCTTATCAAATGTCAGATTTCAAAACATAAGTACAGTTGTGTATGTATATGAGAACATGGGCTAGTAAGGCATGGTGTTTGTGCCAAAATGGTTGCCACTCAGTCTACAAGGAAATGTCATTTAAGTGCTTTTGTTGTTGCTCCTGATATTTCTGTCACAAATGCAACTATCCTGATTCACTAGGGCAATAACCCATCCATTACTCTTTCCACTTCCCTCCCCACTTTGCTTATTAATAATTTTACTAAATCACCATTACTTGTACTTATGTCCCCATCACTCCAAATTTGTTAGTACATTTACATACTAATAAAGAAATTTAAAAGAGTTTTAACAAATCTTGTGTCACTAAATTGGTTTGGTAAGCAAAAAGTCATTGGCAAAAAATATAAGTGGTCAAAACAAAATTGCTGGACAATAATCATCATAGATGAAGAATCAACAGAAATCAGATTCTACAGAAGTAAGCTGAGAATACCATGGACTCAACATATGAGCAACAAGGAAGTTTGAAAGAAAATGGAAACAAAAAAGACACTTATACATAGCATCAGAAAGATATAGTTGTAATTTCTAAGGTACATAACAAGGAAAAAAGGTTTGGAAATTTGATACTCACATGACAAATTGAAGGCAAGAAGGACAGAAAAAAAGTGCTAACAAGCTTACGTAAATGCTTAGAAGAACAGAGATTAAGAGATATAGCAAAAATACATACTAAGGGCTACAGAGAACAAGAAATTGTGGAGAGCCATGATCACTCATGTCCTGAAGAGAAAGAGCAGATAGAAGCCGACTTAACTCTTTTCTAGTTAGTCTTTTCATCTCCAAGCCTTGTAAATATGTTTGAACAATCTGCTATTGTCATAACAATAACTTTGCTAACTTGCATTACATTGTCAGTGCAAGAGAGATAATGCTAGTGCAGAAAAGATGCCTTCCCGAGCAAGCAAAGATTAACAAAAAAAAGGAATCTTCTGAGAATACCATGGACTCAACATATGAGAAACAAGGAAGTTTGAAAAAAAATGGAAACAAAAAGGACACTTATACATAGCATCAGAAAGAGATAGTTGTAATTTCTAGGGTACATAATAAGGAAAGAAGGCTTGGAAATTTGATACTCACATGACAGATTGAAGGCAAGAAGTACAGATTGGTCAGATTTTAGGAAGTGGGTCAAGCTGAAAACCTTAAGTAAGTATAGTAAGATTATCTAAGCTGCCATTGAGATTATGACAAACTTTCAGGTATTTTAAGCTAGTTGCTTATCTACTTTGGAATTTAGACAGATTAAGATAAGTATCTATTTAAAAATAAAAAGTGAATAAAGTAAAAAATTGCTTGACAAATGAAGTAACTTTCAAGTTCAAGAATTTTTTTTACACTATTCTTCACCCAGTACAAGGCTCAAGAGCCACTCAAGATTGCGGGTTACTGAATGGGGCGAATATTGTTTTGCAGACTGTTTATATAAACCAGCTTTACTCAATATTTTTACCTTTGTGGAACCCTTAATTTTTAAAGTTTTAATTGTAATTTTTATGCATTTAACTACAGATATTTTATACTTTCAGGGTAAGGGTCTGTTTTTTAGAAATATAGTTTGAAGATCATAAAATGTATTGTTGGTAATTTTACTATAAAAATGCCTTTTTATATTTTTTGTGTTGCATTGATTGTTATTTTGCTATAAAAATGTATTGTTGGTCATTTTATTAAGATGATGTCACACAGCAGGTCTGATTGAACCATGTCATATATTACAGTTAGAGAATTTATTAGACAAACACATCAACAATTCCAGTTACTTACATGCTTTTATTTTAATTTATTTTTAATTTTTCCTTCTTCTCATCCTCATTTCGGTGGGTCAGGGACTATGGGCAATTGTTACAGTTTTGAATTCAAAGTGGTCCATCTCCTAGTTTGATCTGCTATTTAATCCATAGCTGGAGGGAAAAGAGATGGATTCATACCTTTTCTAAGGTTATTTGGGCATAAGTAAATGTAACAAACTGAACTATAATTTGAAATCAGAAGTGGATTTGGGACCCACCGACATCCCTCCTGACCCACAAGAACCATGGATTTTATGATGTACGAGTGATATAATGGATAGTAGGTTGGAATAGATAGATTGATTTGTTTAATGGCACATCAACTCTTTATGGGTCATTTAATGCCAAAATTTAATTTTCTTGGAAGCTTTGAAGTAATAAAAATATGTTATTTTGCTTTCACAGTTGAATACATGGTAGATGATACTCAGCTTCTGTGCATATACATGTTTGTGTGAACATAATTATTAGAGGTGGTGATATGTATGTTTTATGTTGCAGTTTTGTTGAAGTAATATTTTGGAATACAGTTTGATTTCTTTAAGAAATTGTAAGATGTTATATGGATTAATATCATGAAAGAGTTCTTTCGTGTTGATGGTTTGACATTGTTTAGCAGCATATCAACCTATATGGATTATTTAATGCCAAAATCTAAATATTTTTAACATAGTTTGATGTCTTCAACTACAGATAAAACAAATTGTTGGTCAATTTGCTATAATTTTATAATTTTGCTATAATTTTATTCATTTTATTGATGGTAATTTTGCTTTAAAAATGTATTGTTAGTAATTCTACTCTAACTATGTATCAGTGGTAATTTTTTATATAAAAATCTCTTTCTGGTATTTTTACTATAAATTGTATTTTTATACTTTCATAGTGTTTGGGGGAGTTCACTATTTGCCCATAGTTGGAGCCCTAACAGATGCTACCACCTGATCAGAAAGATAGAAATTATTACAAACAAATGCCTGTCTGCATTTGTTTCTAATTTCTTTCTGTAGTATCCTATAATCTGTGCCTTATGTTGGCATTGATTTTTGTCTCCTTTTCATCTATCATCCATTGTTTTCTTTGTCTATTTTTATTTGGGATGGTCTCAATTGCTGATGTTACTAATTCTTCTCTTTAGTGTGTCCCACTTTGAGTTTCCATTCTTCTTTTGTACATTGTATTTAACATTGAATATATATTTCTCCTTCACATTCAGGTCCTTCAGAAATCTGTCATGTCATGATTTGGGTACTGGTAGAGAAAAAAAAAGATCTACTCAGAGTGGACTAATTTCAAATACAGCAGACATTAATAGCTTCAATATGAACAGCAATAAGAAAAAAAATCTTTCTGGCCATAGAATCTTATAAGCTTATTTATTACCCCTTACTGAAAAATTCCAACACACTTTCTTTAGATTCAGGGTTTGTCTCATTCCAACCTGAAGATGTCTGCCATAAGAAGTTGAAACAAGTTGTTAGAACAAGCTTTTCCATTTTTCTCCTTATTTCCACTTTCGGATATTATTCTACATCCATTTGTACAGGTTTACAGCCACATTATGTTGAAATACTAGTTCCCTTATGATCACCGAAGTTAAGCAATGTCGAGCCTGGCCAATACCTAGATGGGTGACAACTTAGGAATATCAGGTGCTGTAAAGCTTGGATGTGTGGGTGGTGTAATGAAATTCTTAATTGGAGAGCTGAGTTCCAATTTCTGTTAGGTTTGTTACATTTACAATGTACAATTACTCTTGGAAAAGACATGAATCCACATCTTTTCCTCGCAACTATGGGTTAATTAGTAAATTTGTATCACTAAAACCATTATCACCAAAAAAAAAAAAAATAAATAAATAAATAAAATTATGTACAAAACATTTAAATTTCAGCATTAAATAAGTCATAGAGGTTGGTATGTCACTAAACAAAAACAACCAACCAACAACCATGTGTACGGTACCATATTTTAAAAGAAAAAATATTTTTTTATCCCAGAACTATTTAAAACATTTTTCTCCAGATTTCTCTCTCTCTTTTCACTCTCATAGAGCCCCAAAAATACAACATGGTGTGATGTATAGAGGGAGGGAAAATTGAATTTTTTGAATTTTTGAATTAAACAATACACAGCAGTATTAGCTATTATATATTATAACAATTTTAACTCCCTACAAAAACCTAAATTTTAGTGCCAAGCACAAAAGTTTATTTAGTAGAGATAGAATAGGAAAAGAAAATATTTGCCTCTCTTATTTTTAAAATTGAATAAGGTGCAAAACAAACAAGATTTGACCATGCAAAATTTAAAAAAGGAAAGACATTTTTACAGTACAGTTACACAAAATAAAACAAATACAAAAGCTTGCACAAAAAAATTTCCTTTTGTGTGCTTTATACAAAAACTAAGGCAGGATAACACTTTTAATATGTGACAAAAAAAATTACACCTTTTGAAAAAGAAAAAAAAAAGGAAAAGTCTTTGAAAAAGCAAAAATTGCACAAAGCAGAAAATACAAAAGTGCACCCACCAGTGGCATAGCTAGAGTAAACGTCACCTGGGGTGGTCCGCTCAAATGTCACCCCAATGACCCCGATTCACCCTATGCTGAATGGTTAGCTGTAACTAAATTTTCATACATGCTCTACTTCTACTTTACTCTACTGACCGGTACATTACTGTTTACATGTATGATCCAAGACAAAATCCAATACTACAAAATAATCAGTTCAAATCAAAAGCTGAAAACATTGCTATTTTTCCTACTCACAAATTTCCCGACAATTTATTAGAAAATTTCTGATGGGGGGACAAAACTGGGGGGGTCATAAATTATTTCTGGGGTGTTCATATTCCAGCCTGCGAAACCCTGTCTTCACCACTGTTTTCAGACTATTTTTGGCACCTTAGCCTGGTTGAAAAATTTTGTTGTGGGTGACATTGTGTCATCCCTCCTGTGCTGGCCCCTCTCGTGCCCCCCCTTTAGCTACGCCACTGGCACCCACCAAATTTCTGCAACTGAATAGGAGTATTTCAGTACAAAGTGGTTTTGTGATTTCAACAGCTTGGTTGGTATCAGGGGGACTTTTTATATAACCCTTTACTTAAAAGTGAAACTTGGATTTTTGGTTTTGTTGAAATTCTTCTCTGGAAGTAGCTGAAATTAATTTTCTCTCTCTGCCTTGCGATTGTCTACTATTCCCCCCCCCCCTCTGTAGTGCTTTTGAAGTGTGGCTGCTTTAATGCTTTCTGAAGTTATCTGCTAACTGGAGTTCTTTTATTTTTATTTTTTTTTTTTAAAAAAAAAGGTTCACAGAAGGGCTTCATCTAGGTTTTCACAAGGTCTTGGATACCACGTCTCTCATTGGCCAGTAAAACATATTTTTCCATGAATCCAAAAAGAATCCTTAGGAAATCTCAAACAATTTTGGCGGTTTTTAACAGCTGTCCAAAAGATTTTTACACATGTAACAATTATTTTTTCACAAATCGTCTGGATTTTTTAAAAATACACTTCTTTGAAAAGAACGTGTACAAAGTCAAAAAACAACCTAGACGATTATTATTAAACATTCATTTAAAAAGTCACTAAACGAAAGAACTTTTAAAAAAATAACATTTTTATACTTTAAATACTTTCTTTAGTTTAAACTTTTTTTTATTGAAATTCAGTAGTTTAAAACTTTATTTGTAAATGTAGCATTCGTTTTTTTTTTTTGCATCCCGATTAAGATGTAACAAAAAATTTCTTTTTGGTTGGGGGAAAAAAAAAAAAAAGAAAGAAAGAAGGAAACACCATTGTATTGTATGGTTGGTTAGCTGGGAAAAATGTGGGGAGGGGCATTGGCACAAAAAGTAGAGAAAGAAAATCAGACCAGAACAGATTTAAAAAAAAAAAAAAAAAATAATTTCCATCATAAACCATTTTTTGCAATAAGGCCATAAGTGTTGGGCACTGAGCATGGATCGAACTCTCTCTACACAAATTAATAACAGTCAGCGATATCAAGATGCTGTTAATTTTCAAAGCCAGAACACGTCGGTAAAAATAGAAGTAATTTTTTTTCTTTTTATTTAATATTCTTAAGCTGAAATAATGGTGGGCGTCGGGCGCCAGAAAACATTTATATTTTTCAATACGAATCATTTGCTTTTCTTTATTGAAATTTTTAAAGAGAAAAAATAATTTGAGACTTTAAACCTTTATTATCGTGACTAACGTGACCTGTTTCTACAAAAACTAAAAAAAACAAAAAAAAAACTAAAAAAACAACAAACGAACAAAAAAAAAACGTATGAACCGTAAACTTTTCTTTTTGTTTCAATTTTAAAAAGACGAGGTTGACAGGTGAATTTTTACTTTTACAAAGACAAAAACGTATGCCTGTCTCTCATATGCACCGATGTCGTTATAAAACTTGTTTAAAAAAAGAAGGAAGGTTTAAATTTATCTTTTACCTGTCAGGTAACAAATATACGCAACAACAACAAAACAAAACCAACATGTAATTGACCAGATGTAGAAACAGCAAAATTAAAAGAATTCACCTTTTCTTTTTTTGCCATGATAGAAAAAAAATATGGGTACAAGTGACTCAAAACAAAAAACTTTCTCTGACGCTGAAAAGGATAAATCTGAACCGTTTGTGAGGCTAAAAGGTAAATAAAAAACTCGTTTATTTATTTAATTTTTTTCTTTTCTGTTTCAGTTTGCTCTCTCTCTTTCTCTCTCCATATTCTGGACTAAAACAAAACAACAAAAAAAAAAAAAAAATACCGTTTCGTTTATATTTTCTTTATACTATATATCTCCTATCTTTAATTTTTAGTTGTCAGTTTCATTTGTCCATTCTCCATGAATTTATTTTGGGTGAGTAGATTGAGTGACCGTAAATCTCCAGCACTTCATTCTCGTAGACTCCAGCTTGTAACTTACTGAGTTTTCATTTTTCACACAAAAGTAGTAACTTTAATTAACCTTCTCATGAAATTAATTTACAGAAAGTTTCAATTCTCCTTAGTATTCTAGTTAATTCCAATAATATTGTTGTCTGAGTGGTTTCAAATATAGATTTACTAAGAAGCATAGGTTAGATATTGCACAAGGCCGCAAGTACAGAGCACTCAGGATTAAACTCATTACACCATTGTAATTGATTTATCACAAGCTTGCTAACCATTACCATATCAAAATGTGTGAGTGGTTTCAAATATTTCTCAGATTTCTTTATTAGTTTCCAGTGCCACAGATTTTTTATTGGAGATCAAGTGACAACAAGTTTTAATAATGACACAGGACCATGGACTAGTGGGTAAAAGTGTTGGTTTGTGAATTTGGTGATATAGTGGTTGTAAGTTCAATTCCTGGTTTGGGCAGTGTCTACTCTAGACATGAGCAGTGGAAAGAGATAAGTCTACCTCCATAGATTAAATAAAGGGTTCAGTTCGAAATTCCCTGTACATTACCCCAGATTGACATAAACCTGAAAAGTGTGGAGGGCACAACAGCCAAAAGATTGTGATAAAAACAACAAAGATGGGTACAACAGTCCAAATATAAATAGTGAAACATTCTCCTTAGTCTGCTTGGTTTACTGGAAGATTTTGTTTAATCTTCTTTTCAAATCTGCTTGCACGTCTTTCTTTTTGCTTTGAGAAAACTTAGTATTTACCAAGTTTAGTATAGTCTGGCACAAGACTACATTAACACATATGACACCATGACTGGTGTCAACGGTTGACTGGCAATATAATTTATATGTCTAAAGAAAGAAAGATATTTTTCATGTTAAAACAATGCAATACCATGAATTTTCTGGTTTGTGTCACTTATAGAGTATAGTATGAGACGTGAAATTGTAAGCATGGGTGGGATAGCAAATCTTTACAGGTCAGGATTGTTTTAATCAGGTATATAACACACTTTCAGATAGAGGTGACTATGACACCTGTGATAATCAGGTCAAATGAGAGTGAGATTCTGGAACATGGAAAATGTTTCTGTCTATATTTCTGAGATAAGGTATTATGTACACTATTTACAATATTTGAACTATTGTCCTCATCTTTGTTGGCATATTTATTACAATGTTTTGGCTGTTGTATGCTCTGACCTTCTTCAGGTGGTTGGAATGTCGACATTCCAACCACCTGAAGAAGGTCAGAGTGTACAACGGCCGAAACATTGTAATAAATATGCCAACAAAGATGAGGACAATAGTCCGAATAATGCAAGTGGAAAATGTTCTACTGAAGGTGGATATGAGCAATGCAAGGCCACAATTTTGATTGGTCTGCCAGTAAGAGAAGGGCTGGGATGGAGCTTCTTACCCCCCCCTCCTGATACTTACAACACAGGGCCATTATTTTGATAGGACCACCAATCATATTGGGTTCTTGGGAGCTTTCCTTCCTTCTTTTCAAGGCGTATGACAATATTGTTGGCCAAGCATTATTATTGGCTTAGCAATACCATTGGTCAAGCATTATTATTGGCTTGCCAATACCATTGGCCAAGCATTATTATTGGCTGGTCAGTCAGAGCAATGCAATTGGGGTTTGCATCCTCCATAAAAGCAGTTGACGAAAGAGCAGAAGAAAGATTAAAGTGTTCTCACTAGTAGTAGACCAACACTTTCTCTGCCAGGCGACCATGGTG